TAAAATTTTATATATTTTTTATTATAAAAAGTTTTTATTTAAAAACCGCAAAATAGAATTATAAAATTCCTTAATGTCATATATGCGAAAATATTATACATATATGAAAACGTTGATTTACGATAACAACTCAATAAGAGCAGAATTGTAATATGTACGCTTATTAAACGTAAGTACTGTATAAAATACTAGTATAGATATATACGTATATATATAAGCTAAACTATTATACAGTAATGTAATATATGTATATAATAATCGTTTTTACTATGTGAGCAATGTGAAATGTATTTTATACGTCAAGAAGTAGTTGATGAAACACATAAAGAACACATAAACATGTAGAATTTTATGTAGGATGCTTTCATATTCTACACATCAGTAAGTCGAGTTGCCTATCTATCTATGGGTAGGGGTACGCTTTATTGGTAATGCAGAATAAGATTGCAGAATTAGATTGCAAGAGAGGGAGAGAGAGAGAGAGAGAGAGAGAGAGAGAGAGAGTCCGGCGGGGAATAAGACAAGAGAAACTGAATTTTATTCTGGTATAGTGTAAAATTCAATTACATTAAAATATGTATAAAATATGTATTTAATAATACAAATAATATCTGACTTAATCTAACATGACATTTAATACATATTTAAAAATATAATTATAAATATTTGTAATTATAAAACAAATATTTATTACATAGACATTTCAAGACAAATATTTCCATCATAATTATAAATATTTATAATTATATATGTTTAAATATTTATTAAATATCATTTATATTAGATTAAGTCAGATATCATTTGTATTATTAAATACATATTTTATATATATTAAACTTATCTTGTTATTGAATTTAATACTATAACAGTATGTAAAATTAAATTTCTCTTGTCGCATTCCCCGCTGAATTCTTGTCATTTAATTATTGTCATCTTATTCTCCATTACTAGTAAAGCATGAGCAATCCGACTTACTGATGTGTAGGTTGCGAAAGCAACCTGTATGAATATAATAATATAATAATACGAATAAAAATAGAATAATGTTTCATTTAAATAAATGTTTTTTAATGCGTTTATAATTTGCAAAAAGTATCCCTTTAAATAATGTATTAAGGGCCAATTATATCAACTTTACTTTGATTTTAATGAGGTTTAAAACTCTTTCTGCTTTTGTTTTTTTTTTTTTACTTTAAAACGAGACAGATAGAATTTTAAATCTCGCTTAAAGTCAAAGTGACATTGATGCAACTAGATCTTAAGAATAGGATTTAATAACTAGATATGTTACATTTTTTAAATACATTAATAAAAGATTGACATATTAGGATAGACCGGGACTAGTTGCACATAGAAGCAAGTTGCAAATGCAAATATCTAAACAACCAAAAAATATATAAATACGTTTATGCTTGCGTAAGGTAGCACAAAGACAGAGATTACAACGCTTAATACAATAATTTGTATCCGATCAACAGTCAAACATATGTGCTTTTTCGTTTTCATATATCAAAAGTAAAATTATTAAGTGAGTATTCATTTTGATCTATATGGTAATTAAATAAATTAAAGCGATTAATAACAATCAAATGTGTTTTTTAGATACAAGTTATATTAATTTATTTTTAACTTTAATGTACAAGTTGATACTTCATTTACTGTGTTTTTTAGTTATAAAAAAATATTTCAGTCAACACCGATATTGAGCTTGTTCAGCTAGTCTCACAACTAACCTTATAAAGCTCAGCTATTCAAATGAAGTCTATTTTTATCAATGCTTTTTATTCTATGTTAATTAAACAGGGGAGACCGAAACACGATGAGTCATAAAAATTCAAACTCTTAAAAGTGCTAAATATAAAAATTTTTGTATCATTTTTTTTAATAATTAAAGTATTATGCATATTTTAAAATTTAATAAGTATATTTAATAAATATTTATTAATAGTTTTTAAGAAAAAAATAAAAAAAATTTTTAATGTATGACCCATGGTACTCCAATTATGCATTTAATTATACATTTAATAGAAAACTATAAAAAATAAATATTAGATTATTACTTGTAATATAGTAAGTTGAGAAAAGATACGCAGAAACATGTATCTTCTACTACAAAAACAATATTAAAACATTTTTATGCAATTAAAAAGTTATTATTGCACCACGAAAACCATTAATGATCGATGATTTTCAATGTAATGGAATTTAATCACTGCCACCTAGATAAAAAGTATGAGCAGCGAAGTAACAATCGTATTGTACCAATAGTATTAATTTAAACATTTTATATTATATTAAAGAACCGATGATTCATGGTACCTCGTGACATATGCTCCTATTTCTCCTATATTTTATGTTTAATTAATTATTATTATAAAGTAAAGATTTTAGTTTTTCTAATTTTGTTAATTAAAATATTTTTTAAAAAATGTTATTATATAAATGTAAATTATACTTAAGATGAAAATAATAAAAAAATTTGATTAATATATATACATAATCCTTTCATAATCCTTTTTAATAATATATAACTTCATTAAACGATTATCTTCATGGCTCAACTTATCTTTCAAGAATGCTCAATATACTTCATAAGATATATTGATCTACTTTGTATCTTTGTAATTGACGTAATTTTTTTCTTATTTACGAAATATATTAAGGATTTGTAAGTACTTAATTGAGTCATATGAACATGCAATGTTTTAAAGCATTTATCATTAGTCTATTGTAATTGTGTAAAAATTTATAATAATTTAAAGAAAAACATGTTACTGACACATCGAGTATAAATACGTTTATGCTTGCGTAAGGTAGCACAAAGACAGAGAGTTTATAAGGTTAGTTATGAGACTAGATGAACAAGCTCAATATCGGTGTTGACTGAAACGTAATTAATTTAAGATTTGTTGAAAACGTTATATTAATTTGTGGAATGGAAAACATTTAAAAAATGTTTGCGGAATATGATTAAGATCTAGATATAATCATTTAATTTTATCATATCTGATTTTAATCATATTCTTCAAACGTTTTTTAAATGTTTTTTCATTTCATAAATAAAATGCACTCCCAACAAATCTTAAATTAATTGCCGATGTGTGAAGTAGAAAATACGTTTATTAATGTACTGCTACATACTGCTACATAAGACACAATTTATTCATTTCTTATATTTGAATTCGTATAAGTTTAACGTTTAGTTCACGAATAAAAATTGATATACGAAAATACATACGAGACGGTTATCAAAACAGGAAATGTACATTTAGTCCTGAGTGGGTCATTTTGACCCGAATGAAAATTTTGGTTGGCCGTAATTTTTGTTGATTGGTTAATATTAATTGCAGAGTTGTAAAGAAGTAAAAAAACTTGAAACTTTTCTTTCTGTCAATTGTCGTAATGCAATTGTTTCATTGTTGCCTCGATGCTAATAGTGATGTAATAAAAGTCTGGCTTGAGTGACTTAGACCATCAAATGTAAATTCGATAGATTCTTGTCAAAAGTACAAATTCGTTTTTAGTAATGTCTGTTTATTAATGCTGTGTATTTAAGTATGTGTTGTTTTATAATTAAAATGTACATTCATTCCCAGCAAACGAGAATGGATTAAAATGGATTGAAATTTTTTTCTATTCGAATGTGTATTTTAAATAGCGAATACTTTTTTTGGATTTAATTGAATTCAATTCGATTCAATTGGATGCAATTGGATTAAAAAAACTGCATTTTCTATTCAAAATTTTGAATTGAATAATATTCACAATGCACAGAAAAAGCTAATATTATTTTAGATTGAAAGGCTAGAGATATGCTCTATGCAATTCCTATAAATGAATGAAAATGCATTCAGGATTGAAAAGCATTCATTTTAACATTTGTAAATCAATATTTCTGAAAATATTTCTGAATCTATTTCAATTCATTTCAATCTATTCTCGTTTGCTGAATTATCAAAAAAAAAGCATTTTTGCGAAAGAGAATTCTTCATTCTTGGCGAAACGATTGCTCTATTTTCTTGAAATTATAAAATTGAGTAAATAATGTCGAAATCATTATATATTTAATATAAAATATTTTCATTGCATTTTTAAAGAAGAAAATACCCAACTCGGATTATTATTCTGAATATGTAAAAATGTTTTCATTTCACACTCATGCAAATAATTACTTTGTAAAATAAATCAATATAATATATTTTTTTCTTAAAATTCACATTTTTCTCTTTTCAAAACATTATTTATTTTTATTTTTATCGTTTTTTTATCATAAGATATGATTAAAAAAAAAAACTGATTATTGCACTGTTTTCACAAATTGTTCTTTAATATTTTTTGACATAACTTTATTATCAAAACTTTTTATGTTTTTATATTTCGATTCTATACATTTCGACATTTTATTAAAAAAAAATATATTTTTCATTGAGATTTGTGATAATTATGGAACCAATCAAAAACGCCATGGGTGACTTAAACTCGATATGTAAATTAAGACTTTAAAATCAGACATATAGTCTTGAGAGAGAGAGAGAGAGAGAGAGAGAGAGAGAGAGAGAGAGAGAGAGAGAGAGAATTAATATATCTACTTTACACTGATATACGTTATAAAAAAAATATATGTTATATTCCAGAAATATACTTTCTTGTTCTTATATTAGATTATTTCAAGATTATCTTACGTAATGTTTTAAGACGCTAATATCCTCCAATTGGTTTGTAACTTCTTAAGACTGTACTTAAGACAGTCTTGAATATATTCAATAATTAACAAAAAAATGGTATATTATACATTTCAATCAGGTATTTACGGGAGGTCTAAATAAGATAAATTAAATGTGTACCAATTCCATATAATTCTAGTTGTGATGTCTGGCTGATAGACATTGTGATATATTAAATATATTCGATTTTTTAACGTTATTCTTAAACCGATTAAAATCATATTTGATAAACGCAATATTATCGCAACTAAAATTAAATATATGAAACTGATAAATATTGAAAAAACGTTGAATCTACTGCATTTAGATATCTCGTTAAATACCTTATTTAAATGTATAATATACTATCACTTTTTTATTTGAACTTACCTTAATTTAATCATAAAAGCATATATGTAAAATATTTGCAATTAATACTTGTGAATGATAATTTTCCTTCTCGGAATATATTACGCATAAAAATATACAAATTTACAAAATTATAGGGAAATTGGAGGGGGGCGACGAGTGTAAACATTTATCGCATTTTTACATTATAGAATTAAATAGCATAAACACAGTGTATAAAATATTTGCAATTAATATTAGGTGTAGTAAAAAGAAATCCATTATTTTTGCATGAAATTGAATGGAAAAATAATGAATTTCTTTTTACTACACCTAATATATATTGACGTTTTAAAGACGTACATTATATAATACCGTTTATACAATACCGTATTTTCTAAACATTTATAAATGAGAATTCTTTCATAAATTATATACGTTTTAAATAAATATTTGTCCGATTATATAAACATAAATAACGTAAAAACACACTTAAAATTAAACTTTTTTCTCCGTACATTGTTTTTCAATGTATAAAATCCGTTTTTTTTATACAAAAGTAATTAAAACGTATATATTTAATAATAATTATCGTATATTATACAATAATATAAAAACAGTAAAAATTTAAATTTTATTCGTTTATTTGATATACGACAGTTATAACATTTTTATATTTATTTTACGTTTAATATACCATCATGTGTTTATTAAGTAAGATCTGATTATGAATACTGATCTAAAAGTCTGCGTTTTATATATTCAAGACTGTCTTAAGTTCTGTCTTGAGGTATCACGAATCAATCAGAGGGCCAGTCACTAGAGTCTTAAAACATTGCTTAAGACGATCTTGAAATTAAGAATGGGCGGTATTCGTAGTCCATTCATATTTCAAGACTGTCTCAAGTAATGTCGCAAGAAGCTAATACGGCCCTGTGAATGGTTCATGATTTCTTAAGATCGTACTTAAGACGGTTTTGAATAATAAGATCTGATTACGAATACCAATCTAATATTCTTGAACCATGCGCAGTTGTAAAATATTATTAAGATATCATTTTCTAATTTATCGACATTAAAAAATTTTGAAATTAAATAACAAGAAAATGAAACTTGTGAATGATAATTTTCCTTCTCGGAATATATTACGCATAAAAATATACAAATTTACAAAATTATAGGGAAATTAGAGGGGGACGACGAGTGTACTAAACATTTACCGCATTTTTACATTATAGAATTAAATAGCATAAACACAGTGTATAAAATGTTGAAAATTTTCTCTTGTAATTATAGTTTTTTGGGCACTGAATCTTCACGTATGTTTTAAAATTTAGCGAGCGTCTTAAATCGAAAGGAAGAACAATTATATTTCTATGAACATTAAATTATCCAGAGACAAGATAATATTTTAGCGCTAAAAAAATGCGTAACGTTTTTTCAGTAAACATTGAAATGCTTTGTTAAAATGGACACGTATAATAAAATTAAAAAATTTGCATTTTTCATACTTGAAAAAAGAATTTAATACAATACTCGATCATTATTTCAAATTTATTTTTATCAATAATTATTTCGGTAATGAAGTATTTATGACTTGATATTTATAAGAAGTTTGTTTTCCTTTTTATCCGAAAATATCATAAAATTTTAAAATATGACTTATCCTATATATTTACGTGTTTTGTTCACAAATTATTCATAAATTGTTGGAAAATTCATGAAATGTCGTCATAGCTAAAATAAAAACACGCATAATAATTTAGTTCTGATAATACTAAGCTATACTGATATTATCACTGACTCATACTAAAATTTAGCGATATGCTAAAATTTAAGCTTGTGCTGACTATGGTCTTACATAAAATTGCTTTGAGTGGCTTGAAAATATATTGGCGATATGCAAATCGCGAGCACAGGAATAATTATAGTCTCCGTTCACTGTCAGGTAGGGACAAGAAAATATGCAATATTCGTTTATAAAAGGAATGCAATGTGATCAGCGTCGTCTTTTGCAAGTTCGCTTCTTTTTTGGTTCTCTCGAATACTTAGTGATGCCATATAAATGTGTTTGTAATTAAAGAAACTAAAAAACCTGCCAATATTTTTCTCGGAACAATAGTGATCGTTCGAGAGTCTAAATGCGTCTGCTGTTAATTTTGTTCTTCGCGAGCACTATCTTAGCGCGAAGTGCTAGAAATAGAAGGGATACTGATCTGGTACATGAATTTTTTGCATCATAATGAATTCTTTTAATTTATCTAAATTATTTAAAACTATTGCTGATAATATAATATATGATAATATAATATATTTAACAGAAAACCCTTATTATTATTTGAAAAACTTATTCTAAAAACAGAAACAAACTTTTCTGACATTTAACAAATAGCGAATACTTGCAGATATAATAGAACAGTTTGTAATTTTATCAGCTCTATCACTTTAAAACTTTTCTTAAATAGTCGTGTAAGTTTATTTTTATTTTTAGAATATTGCATAATAAAAAATATTTTATACTTGTGTTAAAACTTGTTCTTGTAACAATTTTTGTATTAAATTTCTAACACATTCGAGTATTAATTTAGTATGGTAATATTAGGGAAAAAGTTCGTGGCGTTTTCCCATTACATCTAATGGGAAAAACGCCACGAATTTTTTTTCACACTTAATATGTCAGTCGAATATTTTGTTAAATTAACATTTCTTGATATAAAAATAACAGAATTTACGAATAAAAGGACAAATAATATAAAAATAATGTAATTTTAAAACAGTAATCCTAAAATAAATGATAAATACACGTGTTAATTTTATATATTATAAATGTTGATTTTACTGAAAAAATATATTTCCTGCACAATTTGTTTCCAACTTGTGTCAGAGTATTTTTATTCATTTTATTAACTTTTTGTATAACGGTTTTACATTTTTATTTTTTTTTCTAATAATCATCTATTTAATAATCATCTTATATTAAATTAAAATAAAAATTTGAATCATTTGAAACACATGAAATATATTTAACTTGACACAAATTTTCCAACTGTGTAGCCTTGTGTAAATATTGTTTCATTTTTCAAATTTCCATTATAAACTAATAAATCTCCATAATAAATCTCCATTATATAAACTAATTTTCCTACTATAAAATAGAAATATTTGTAGTTTTTTTTTAAAGTTTTGTATGCATCAAAAAATATTTTATGCAATTTACGTTTAAAATACTCACTCATCGATTAGCTCAAAATACATATCCTTTCTTGATTTTATATTCAAGGATACCGTAGTAAGTAAAGTTTTTTCTTACATATTCTTATCGGTGTACATATCTAATTATTTTACAGACTACATTTAAACTTCCTGTTTCTACAACTGAGGTTTATAATGGAAATAAGACAACGGACGTTAATTCTGATGAAACTAATGAAAATAATATTTTCAATCATCCGTTAAGAATGATATTGAACCTTATTAAATCAATAATATTAGTCATTAAGAATACATTATTGACATTTTCAAAAACAATAAATTCAGCGAGTGACTTTGTAATACGCGCTATGCAACAACCGGTAAGCGTAACGTTATTTATTTAATAT